TGGAACAAGCGGAGTAAAGTATCTTGCTCAAAGATACATCACAGTACCGTGCCGTGACTCGAATACGTAACCCTTCGGTCACGAACCCGGCATCCTACCACTAGACTACCGTGCCTCCAACACTAATATTATCCACGACAAGTCTCATTTTTTGTCTTTCTCTCTCCAACACCCTTTCCCCTTCCATCCGTATGATAACCTGCCCGTCCACAAAACACCCTTTCATAATAATAATGATATGCAACATTTGAAATAGCGCCCTATATAGCTAGAATAAGCAACTCTAAGGTGCTTTACAGTACAAAGATATATAATTCAAACAATCATTACAATTAGCATATACATGTACATTAATCATTACAATTTTGAGGAATTCGCAGGAGCTGCCTTATCAGGCACTAACTACTAGTCCTATGCCACCTGGCTAATATCTCCCTGTGTGTGTATGCCTGCGTGTATGCCGGATATGTATTGTTTTCATCATTATTTGTCTGACACTAATGTTATTCTCACTATCTATCCGTCCACGACAACCCTCTTTCATTTGTCTTTTAGACACCTTTCCTCTTTCTGTCCGTCTGATAACCTTTCCGCCTGCGATACCCTTTCATCTTTATGTGTCTGACACTAATTATATAAATCCATTCACATCGTCCCCCAATGACACCATGTCCTTCACCTATCCGACATCCCTTCCAAACATATTCCTTCCTTTTTATACCTACGACAGACTCGTCCTCGCGTAGAACTAGGTCATATTCGTTCATAGCAACAATAAAAAAGATGGCGGTTACGTCGTCAAAACAGTTGATCCACTTCTTTCTTTCTGACCGTTGACCCCCGACGTCGATCAAGCTGAAATAATATCATTATTAACGCACTCACTTATAAAGAATATGATACTACTTCTGTGGCACATAATAACTAATTTATAAAGGATAAAGTTGAGTGAAACATAAACCAAAGGTGCATGCCATCTAGTGGAATTTTTTTCAAACGAAACAAAATCTGTTTTCCTTTTCCTAAAACTTCATTTGCATCAGCTCTCTCAGGGTATGAGTTATTCTAGTAATCCTGCTATTTCGCCTATCTCGTGGAGATAGTTTCTTCGCAATTACTCAAGTGTTCACGTGATAAAAAAATGATTCGGTTCACAAAACATGACGAAGAAAAACTGCGCCTCCAAGACTTTTTTTCAGATGAATTTGCAAACTCTTTTGCTTTATGCAGTGACCTATTTCATTGCGAGAAATAATTTTGGGGGTACACGACTAGTTTCAGTATTCAGATTGAATAGTTTTCACAAACAATCGTGTACAACTTCCAGCATGTTTCTGTCTGGGTATGGTCATATATCCTCATGAAATCTCAAACAGAACCGACTGTCTAATATTTAAAATTTGATCAATGATTATAAATATGCTAGCATTGACAATGAAAAAAATAACACCAAAAAATGTCCTTTATCTTGCTGAACGAGAGAGGAAATCGAACAGTGTTTGGTCTCATTGGAATAGCTCGTGCTAGTTTGGTTAAACCACCTTACCATATCACACCACAGACGAGATGAAACGTTCATTAAAAGCAACGTGTTTTCTTTCATTTGACGGAAGGGTACGGTCACCACTTGACCGGGGCCGTCTTCAGCAGCACATGTCTCTACTACATAACTGATTTTTGTTCGTTTATTTTTAATAATGCTAGTTTGTTGTATGGAACGTCTTCGATCTCCTTCCTTTCTTGATCACCATCCAGAAAATACACGACATCTCTTTATACCTCGTAGATGTCAACTGAAGGATTTCCCATTGGATGAAACAACGCAAATAAAGGAAACTTGTTAACCCTTTCACTCCTATGTAACTTAAGTAAACTCGTACATGCATTGATCTGGATGAGTCCATTATGGTCTGCAGTGGTGAAAGGATTACTCCGCTTCGACTTTGGTGAGTTCTATGATAATCGAATTGATGAAACTCGAACAAGGAAATTAAAACGCAGAGGGAAGCGGATATTCACTTCATATGTTCATTGTTTATAACGAGTAACAGCAAGGTCTGCTGTAAACATTGACGAGATTTTCTCATTGTCAATTTTCTATGTGTTCTGTAAACATACATTTTGCAAGCATAATGTTTTGTTATCTGTGTAAAGAAATCGTCTGCAATGTCGTCTAGGTACGTTATCATTTCCTGTCAAACGTTATAGGTTTACTTTAAATTCCAACATATGAAACAAAATGGGCTGAAAATTAGGTAATTAATGAGAAAGAATGGAACCATCTTATAACATGCAAGATAGTGGGTACTGTATCAATAGAGAGCAGTGTTTTGGTCAAAAGTACATCTGAACTAAAATCTAACGATTTGGGTAACACCGTGCAAAGATTGACAGGGGACTGTTAGATTGTAGATAGTGCTATAGGTCTATCCATCTAGTGGCGACCAGGTCCGTCATAGATGGCATAGAGATATAGGAACGAGCGTGTGAACTCCCCAAACCAGACAGGGGTAACTGTCATTGTCATATGGTACATCTAAGTATTGTTGTTTTGGTAGGGGAAAGTTAGATTAGAAGTTAGAGTAAATTGTCGCAAGTGCCTCATTATCTATGTACACTAGGTGGTACTTTCTCATGAAAAGTTAATGTTGTCTAGATTGTAAAATAGTACTTGGGGAAGATTTAAGAGGTAGTCTAGATTTAGGGAGTCGAGAGTTGAAAGTCTCTGAGTTTGGAGCGTGAGCCTCTGGAGAGAGAGGCCAGGGAAGACCTCGGCCGGCACAGCACTTGATGTGCTTTAGAACTATGTTTGATGTTGTAACTCTATATAATCTATGTGCAGGTTGCTGTCGTGTTCCAGAAATATGTTAAAAAGGACATTTAGTAGATTAAAGACTGCTGAGGCCACAATGCGAAGTTAATAAAATGCAAAGTCCTCATGTGTTGTCAGCGTGTTACATTTGTATGTAATACATATTACTTTGCCAAATGAAGATTTGGAGATTCAAGTGTTGGACAACGAGTTGGACAAATAAAGAATGAGGTTATCTTTGATATTTATTCAGTAATCACTGAAGAGACGGGTTTTATTTCGAGAAAGTCAAATGACTTGGTCGTTTTCAGATTCAATGATGCTAATGTTTACACAATAGTTTTATACCAACCGGAAATGGAAATACCGGAAAGTGAACACTGTCTCTACGATTCCTGTTGTGGTTACTCTGGTTCGAAGGACATCCTGTTCCGTTGGGACGTACCCAGGCATGCATATCCGGTCCAGGGTGTCAAGGTAACTGTGGTAGAAGTGTTATAAGTATATTATAGAGTATATATATTATTTTTTTATTTTTTTGTAAAAACACTTAAGTTATTATTATTTTGCGCAAAAAGGTGGAATAGTATTACTTTCGTCATACGTAGTTCATAATATTGTCTTTCAAGATTTTGAATGAAACCGTCTAGACACTGCCTCCATGATGTCAAAGTACATTTGTATTATCCTTATTTATATGTAAAATCTATAATATGGTAGTCAGGGCGGATGTTGGGCTGTAATATTTTCATACAAATCCCGAATCACCAAAGAGTATTGGAATCCCACACGGAAATAATAACTCACTATTCCGCGGAGTCGTTTAGTTGGTATTCCCGCGCACGACCGAAGCACTCTCTGACTCCAGTATCACCCCAGAGTCTTTTAAAAGCCCCACAGATCTCCTGGAAACGATCTTCATCGTCGACCTTGTACGTCATTATTTGTCTTGCATCATCCTACAATAGAGATGTTATCAAACACTTGCTGCGAGCCCAGGGACCCTTCTCATGATAAACTATTGGTAAAGTGGGATATCATGAGGAAATTAATATGGTTTAATAAAGTTTTTATAGTTTTACATGAGCATGCATCATTTCCTATTTCGTTACATCGGTAACAATAACCAAAAAAAAAATATAGAGAAATATACACTCTTTCTTACAACGCCATATCTGGTTTGAAAAAAGACACTTGAAGCTGCATCACCATACATAGTCAAATAATTACATTATATCAATAATTTGAATTAAGGATTTCGCCATCCTCGAAACTCCAGGGGATACACTCACATATGCTCTCTGCACCACTGGAAATTGTCATAGCAAAATTGAAGGCAAGCGGCTAGTTATTTTATTGGTCTCAGGTAAAACGTAACCAATCACTAGGCGGAAACCGGTCCTTTACAAATTACAGAGGGGCGACACTCGACTTTAAAGCCAGTCATTTTTACCGTTACGCGACCGCGAGATTCTTTTGATGTACACCAAATGATCCAGCTATTCTTCTTGTTTCATCCACAAGGTGGCACACACTGAGTCTTATTTTGTGTGCAGAGAGCGTAAGTGAGCGTAACCCCTGGCTATCAAGGATGGGATTCCGCATGAACTACCAAATCAGTCACTAACTACTAGCCATATACCACCTGGCTCATATACGCTGTATGTGAAACTCTGTGTCTTATGTCTAGGTCTAATTGGTTCCAAAGTCAGATTGTAGAAGGGAAAAAGGATGAGTTTGAAAGTTGAAGTCGGAAATTAGGAAGAGAATAATTATCGGCATTATGGAGATTGTATAGTGAATTTTCTGAGACAAGAGGAGACAGTAAAGAAGTAAGACAGGTTGGCGTGAGATTATTGTGAATTTTGTAGAATAGTTGAAGTTTTCTCCTAGATCTTCTCTGAGATAAGGGTTTGAATCCACTTTCAGAGTATAAAGATACTCTGCTAGAATAAGAGGGTAAACCCGTGATTATCCGTGCAGACTCAAGTTGGTTACAGAATTCTAGTAATGGAAGAATATTTTATTAAGAGTTGGTCTATTTAATATGTATTTTAGTTTGCGCAGTACACTTACCTGTTTTGAAACTTTTTGGCATATATTATCAACGTGGTTACTCCATTTACAGTTGTTATCCAGAACTACTCCGAGGTGTCTATGATTATCCACGAAGTCAACACTTACATTATTAAAATTAATATCTATAACATAATCAAGTTCTATATTTGAAATAAGTAATGCTTTTGTTTTTACAGGGTTGAATTTAACTAACCATTTATCTGCCCAATTTTGGATCTTAACTAAGTCACTATTAATTTTAGTTTCAATAGCCTGAGGAGATTCTTCCGAACATACTAAAGAGGTGTCATCTGAAAATAATTTGGATAGGTTTTCAAGATTATCGGAAATATCATTAATAAAGAGAATGAATAATAAAGGACCTAGAACCGAACCCTGTGGAGCGCCAGCATTAATATTTCTCATATGTGATTTAGTATCACCAACAAATACCTGTTGTTGTCCGTAATTTTCTAGTTTTACTTTCAGTCCCTTGTGCCACACACGATCGAACGCTTTAGATATATCGCAAAAACTAATCATGTAGAATGTTTTTTTTCTAGATTTTCACATAAAGTATGATAAATTTCAATTAATTGATGTACTGTAGAATGTCCAGGCTGGAAACCCGATTGGTATTTATATACCAATGAGTTTTCTAATAAATAATTATTTATATATTTTACAACTAGTCGTTCAAAAACTTTCCAAACAGTATTAAGTAATGAAATAGGTCCATAATTGGCAGAATCTTCTTTATCACCTTTTTAAAATAACGGCATGACTAACGCTTGTTTCCAAGGTTTTGGAAATATTCCAGTTTCCGAAGAAGATCTTAATATTAGTGATAAAGGAAAAGCTACTGTATGTGCTGTATATTTTAACATGTTATGACTGATTGTGTCGCTTCCAACAGATTTACTAATATTCAAAGATTTCAAAATGGTATGTCAGACAGATATGGTGGCGTCCGTCTTAAGCTCTACCCTAGGTACATCAATATTAGTATCGTCAATGGTAGAAATGGAAACAAAGTAATCATTTAAGATGTTGGCTTTACCTAAATTTGTCATTTCAATATTTCCAGTTACATTTTTGAGAGGAGGTATATTATTACAGTTATCCGAAGTTTTAATTAATCTACGAACAATACTCCAGAAGTTTCTTGGATTCGAATTTGAATAACGATCAAAAATTCCATTTATATCTGCGTAGATCAGTTCTTTTGTGTGTTTTTTTTTTAGATTATTTACATGATTACGTTGTTTCCGGAAATTATGAAAGTTATAAGGAGAACGATTGGATTTAAATCATTTTAGTAGTCGGACTCTTTTCCTTATTTCTCGTCTTAAGGTGGCTCTACACTTCGCAATTAACCAGCAAAATTCGTTGAAACTTTCATATACTGGGGACTTTTTTGGAAAAAATACCAAAAAAATGAATTTTCGTCAAACGCTGATGACGATGCGTGGAGCCACCTTAAGTTAGAATTAAACCAAGGCTTGCCATTAGGTCGAATCGTAACAGATTTTGTTGGTATACACCCTCGGCTATGTCTAAATTTGGTTGTAAAAAATTCGCATATGTCTTCCGGGGAGTGCGTCCTCGAAAATAAGTCAGGCCAGTGTGTCTCGTCTAATTTAATGTTAAAAATTTCGTAATTTGCGGCGCCATAACATGTTATTTTCCCTTTGTAAGCTCTGGAGATATTAGTACCAACAGTCAGTTCAACAGTCGTCGCTTGGTGGTTCCGATGTAAATTATGTCAGCAAAGCTAAAAGTGCATGCGTCCAGGGGCGTTTCTAGGATATTTGAAAGAAATCTTTCGCCGAGCGGAGCGATGCGAAAAAACATATTGGACCTTTTTTTGGCTAAAAAACATAAAATAATTGTGAAATGCACTAATGTAACGGTTCCTGACTTGGAGCATGTATATTTTATAGTTAAAGTGTCAGGGTGTTTATGTGTTTAATTAATGAATATGATAAATTGCCATATTCAATACAATATTGGCAGATTACGATAGTTTTTTCGTTTTTGTTTTTTGAAAAAGGGGGGGGGGGGCGTACGCCCATAACGCCCTCCCCTGGACCCGCCCCTGGTGTCGGATAGAAGAATTGGGTCAAGCAGGGTAGAGCACGTGCGTCCTATACGAGGCAGGGAGTGTAAAGCAAAGGCAGGGAGTGTTAACAACAGACAGGGAGTG